AATCCTGCTTGAACAGTCTGAAGTCCCCTGTGGGGAAGGATGACAAAGAGAAAAATGCGCCGTTTGAATAGCATCCGCAGTTGTTAGTCTCTGATGTTTGCATAAATGCAATCATATCCTCGTTAAACGATGCAAAATCTTTCATTTTCCCAAACCATTAACCTGACGGAAGGTTTCGGTTTTTGAACATTAACATGTTCGAAGTGTTCGTAGGATAACCAGTGCGGTATAATATGGAGGCATGAAGACTAGTCAGAAAACGTACAGTTGAGCAGCCCAGCAGCAAAGCGTGACATCTTCCTAAAAAAACTTCAAAATACGGTGCTTTTCTAAAGTCGTTTAAATACTTCTCATGTCCAGACACTGACTTCCAACAAGGAGCAAAAGACATTTAGTGAAAACATCTACCAGAAAAGAAGTGAGTTCCTCACAAGCGGGACTAACACCGATGACTGAATGGGTTCTCGCGGAACGCCTGAATATTAGAATGTGGGGATCAACTCAGGACGATATTCATTAGCAGTACTGCCAGCTGACTTACAATTCAAATCGCATTTGGAAAATTTGGCCGATGTTTCTTGACTTTGCAGTTTTGAGCCGTGATAATAGGCTTATAGTGCTAGCTTTCGATGTTTGTCTACTGCAAAAAGGCGTGATTTTGATGTCGTGAAAATTAGGGAAATACTTGTACTGGCCATATACTTATAAGATCCTTGGGCAGAGCTTATATTACAAATGTCCTCCAGACGGGTGTTCAAAATTATTTGCATGAGCAAGAGGTCTGGCATAAGGTTAAAAGTGGCTTCAACAGCAGGTCAGTTGGGAGGAATATGTAAGTAGAATTATCAAAGTAATGTTCTCAAAAATAGTGGAAAGACAAAACCGTCCAGTGAGGTCATTACCAGAGTGGTATAAAATCAACTACTCGCGGCTTAGCAGTAGTATGAAAGGACGCGTCAGAACACCGCAAAAAGGATATTAATGCAGGGGACGGAGTAGGGGGGATAATAACTTTAACGGATACAACCTAACGCACCACAGGCTTAGCAACGTCGTTGTCTGAGTCGCAGGCATCGGCAAGGACAGTGAGGAGGGTCTTCTTCCTCCAATGCAGATCCTGAAGAAGGTTCTTCTCAAACTGTCGCAGAAGTTTCCAAGGTAGGCCATGTAATGGCGGTCCTTCCAGGCTACCTAAAGCCGCCTTGAGACCCACTGTGAGCGACTCGATGAAACGATTGAACCGTTCAACAGCGTTGGAGAGTTTCTCGCTGCTATCCGTGTCAGACAGGTTGCCTAAGGTTAAGCGGAAAAACAGTGAGATGAAAAGTGGTTTGCAGTGTTGGGCTAGGCAAGCTAAAGGGGGACTGCGTAGCGAGTTCAACGGGTGTCGACAGGAGATTTAAAACTGAAAAAGTACTAATTCACTAGAAAACAGGGGAGGAGACTGTGCCGAAGAACAAAGAATTCGAAGAAGATAGATAACACAGGAGGTGAAGCAACTCAAGAAAAGTTGTGATTGAAATAAAGTTGATCAGTC